GCAACAACCCAGAAGACAGAAATCTTCATACTCATCGCCCTGATGATGGAGGCAGTATGACCTCTGAAACGTTGGTAAACATCAACCAGACTACACAGCGCAACAACCCAGAAGACGGAAATCTTCAACTTAAACTTTAATTAATATACTGTTTTATTCACATTGGGAAATTTATGAGTATCTTGTAAATGAAGGAATTTCGGAGTTTAAAACGTTTGGATATGTGATTATACTTATGAGTAAACAATCACAGATATGCTAAATGTCATATATCAGGGTCCCTGAAAATTTCCACCAATAACAAAATTAAGGAAGTTGTCAAATTTCATTGTTCTTCAGCAAATCTCATGTGTGGTCTTGGTGGTTCAACAAATGTCAAGGTATAATTCAATTTCTTGCCATTCTACTTAGGGTCCACAAATATCAAACACTGCTTTCACCTGACTAACACACAATGCAATGTAACATTCTTTACTGTAAGACACTTATATTCGAGAAAGACTAAGCGGCTGTGGTACTCTCCCCTACCCATCTCACCACAAACACTTATCATAAAGGCATCAAAGGATGAAAAGGAACTGTTTGACCATATCTTCTTTAGACCCACCAGAAACAAACTCCTCCTCCTTTCAAACCCCCCACCCCACCGAAGCAAACGCTATGTCACGGAAACATTTTAAAAGTTTGTTTGAAACATTGCACATTGATTCACGCACAGATAATCTGCACATGGATAATCATAAGATTACTTTAGTATAAATATCTAGAAAACCCTCCAGTTATTATTCATGGTTTGGTATCTTTCCTGTGCCTTATTATTTCTTCTATTCTTTCATAATCATCTTGAATGACTTTTCTGGGGAGAAGTGAAAGCCAAATCCCTTATTCTCCACTAACAATGATTCCTATAATTTATCAGTTTGTCCCTCCCCCCCCCCCCCCCCCCCCCATTCCCCCCCCCCCCCCCCCAATTATGTGTGGTTCTTCTGTTTATTTATTTGAAGCAAGATTTCTTGAGTTGATTATGTAATTTAGATAATGCCAATAATTACCTACAGACAGATTTGGATTAAAGTAAATGCATAATCGATACTAAGAAACAGAATGATTTCTGTGAAATTGAAGGGCCAATTACCCACCTGTTGGACAGTACATACACCTTCTCTGACCTCCTCTGAAGCTGACTGCGCAGATGGATCAGTTCCCATAGAAAATGAGAGTCCATGTCTTTGGCTGAGCTTGCTCGGACTTGCACTTCTGTAACTGGGATGAGAACCTGATAGCGGATGATCTCCACCTCACTAGAGCTGCTCTTACTTGTTACGCCCTGTTGCAACAGAAGACATTGAGGTTGAACCAAATCTTGAAATTGTAACTTCAGGACAGTTATTATTATTATTATTATTTAGTGTTCTGTCTGACGACAGGTCCATATGAACAGGATCCTTCCATCCTTTTCTCGGACTGGGACCTGTTCATATACGTTCTTGGCAGATGATCCAGAAGTGGTTTGCCATTGCCTTCTTCTGTGTGTGAGTGCAGTAATTGTTGGGATGCCACGGAGGAAAACTCCGTGTTGCCTAGACCACGGCCTTGCCCAACACAAGTTATAAATCTGAGCACCACCGGGAATTGAACCCGGGACCCCAGCATTACAAGGCTAGTGTTCTGACTGCTAGACCACCGTGGCGGCTCAGGACAGTTACAGTGAGAAAAGCTCTTATTCGATGGGTAGAAGAGAAAATCACACCATGAATAGTGCCAATTCTCTCAATGAGTTCTAGGAATTCCAAATCTTATCTGCACCAATTCATTAAAAATTTATCCTTTCTCAAAAAAAGGCTCTGTGCCTTGTTCCCCTACCACCATTCTGGTCTTCCTTATCTCCACTGAAAATCCTAATATACTCTGATCTTAGATTCCAATAGATTTTAAGTATTTTAACACTTACAGTTTCACTGAAAAGAATCTAAATTTCATTACAGTTGGCTCCCCTTCTCTTTTTCTTCACAATGCGGCCACACTGTCAGTGTTTATGTTCAATGCTTCAAGATTCATTGTCTCTATTAGAAAATTCATCATGACTCTCAGTGCATCAAACTATCCCTCACCTCTCCTTTCTTCCAATCCATAAATTACTTCTCAAACAATTTACTTTGCGTAAGATTTGAGGTTTTCACAGCAGTGAGTATGAAGATTTCTGTCTTCTGGGTTGTTGCGCTGTGTAGTCTGGTCGATGTTTACCAACGTTTCAGAGGTCATACTGCCTCCGTCATCAGGGCGATGAGTATGAAGAAAAGAGGCAGTATGGCCTCTGAAACGTTGGTTAACATCAACCAGACTACACAGCACAACAACCCAGAAGACAGAAATCTTCAATTTACTTTGCCATCCAACATCTGCTACCTCTTGTCCTCCCATTATCTCTCTGATTGACAGATTTGTCTCCGATCACTAGTCACCTCATTAATTAACTAATTCAGTTCCTCAAATTTCATGCCTGTGACACTGGTCTCATACTTAATTTCAGTGACTTCTTAAGCTGGGGCCACACGACCGTACAAAGTACGTCCCTTGTAACACACATCGTGATGTCCGTCACAGAATTATGAAGGGGCATAAAGGATACAACACACGATGCGCGTGCTTCACTCCACCAAATATTCCTCGTTGTTTCCCACAGAACACATCCGCACTCCACTGGCACTGGCACTCATCTCCAGAAAGAACCACAGAATATATAATATTAAAATGGTAAAAGTACAAGACTACAGTACGTTGCTGAATAAAATTTGTCCCTTTATTTTCTTTGTTCTTAAGCTTAGGAGTGAGCCGGGATAGCTCAGTCAGTATAGTGACTAGCTACGGGCTGGACGACCGGGGTTCGATCCCCGACGGGGGCAGAGGATTTTTCCCCTAGCCTCTGCGTCCAGACCGGCTCTGATGATGGAGGCAGCAAGTAAATGTTGGCAAACTTCTACCAGACTAAATGGTGTTATAATCATGGTCATCTTCATACTTGCCACCATTAAAACCAACGAGCTTTCACTAAAAGCATCTATGATTCATTTTAAATTTAGACATAAGCCTCTGGGAATAATTGTTAATTCTTTAAATTTATTCAAAGCTTAGGAGGCTGGTTACTAATACAATGAGTTCAGCTTGACTTACCATGAGCTTTTTCTTCTGTCTGAGTCTCTCTTTGCACAGGAACACAACAGCCGACTTGAACACAAAGCACATTGCGTGCAGCTCCAGACCTTTCTTGATCTTGCCCAGGAAGTCTGATATATTGAGCCACTCCACACCTCCATAATAGAGAAGGTCACCAGGACTCAAATCTATTGGCTGTAAAATAGAGTCAATATACCAGATGCTCTGAGGTCAAGGAGCAGAGGACACCTGGTATTGGCTACAAAGTGAAGAAATTTTAACAGAGGCTCTGACCTTGGCCTTCAAAAACTTTTAGTCGCTAAAGAAACGTGACACTGGCAGTGATGCTAAGTACGAACATTATCCATAGAAAACCATTAGGTTTGCTGCAGCGAGCGTATACAGGAATGTGATTCCTGCAAAAATTTGCCAACGAAATATCAACGGGCTGACGGGCGTTTACCTGTTTACATGACTTCTGGTGCTGCCGGAAGAGGTGATCAAAAATTGCGCCGTATTCCTCGTGTATCCTCTGCATTTCATTGATGTGTTCTGCTACTTTCTCCATGCCCTTCAAAGCCTCTGAAATATAAATTTTGAAACAACTTAGCACTTTGCCACTTTCACAATTTGCATCTTTGTAATTCATCCCATCGGACCTATACTACACACATTCCGCGTCACATGCTTTGGCACGGTAATGGTATGTGTGATATGTACTAGTAAGTTTCTGTGGAGGTTAAACCCGACAGTATATTTTGAAAGCAGAATATCCAAACTGTAAATTAATGTGTGATTATCATAACCTGAAAAGTTACACAGCATGTATCACCAGTGCCAGGTTTCAAGAAACAAAACACGTTTTTCAGATAGTTCTCACAAATCATGTTTATGGATTTTCCAAAAATTCATATAAATATGTGAATGTAAGAAGATTTCTGTCTTCTGGGTTGTTGCGCTGTGTAGTCTGGTAGATGTTAACCAACGTTTCAGAGGTCATACTGCCTCCGTCATCGCCCTGATGACGGAGGCAGTATGACCTGTGAAACGTTGGTAAACATCGACCAGACTACACAGCGCAACAA